GACTGTGTGTATGTTTTTGATGGAACTAATTTATGTAAATATATATTAGATGAGACATTGTTAATATGACCAACTATGGATTTGAGTGGAATAATGTTCCAATCTTATTATGAGTAACAACAAGTTGCATTTTTTGTGTACGTAGATATGAACAAGAAGCAACGTTGGTATGTATTATTTATTGGACGACAAGTTGGTATTTACGAGTCATGGGTGGAATGTCATGCGCATGTGAACAAGTATCCAAATGCATTATACAAATCTTATGATTCGTATGTTGAAGCAGAAACAACATTGGCATTGTACAATGCGCGGCATGAAGTTGATGTACCCAATGCGATGCCTTTTCATCCTCCTGCACCTATGGACAATATCGTTGATGATGGTGTTGTGAACAACAATGAAGCACATGTTCGTGTAATTGGAACAAACGCATACACCCGTGATCTAATGCGGTGCATGATAAGTATAGTCATGCTTATTGTGGGTATCGTGCTCACCCATATTGTGTACTCTGTAATAGGTTATCGTGGGTTTGTTTAAGTGGTTACCATAACAGTAAACATGGTGCTTTAATGGTTAGACAATATGTAATGACTTGGGACAGTTCTATGTAAACCTTAGTATCTTATGCATTTTTATCAACTATATTTGTAGTAGTAATCCCGAAGATTTTGTCTGTACGGTTAACTGTTAAATATATGTAATTGTGAATTACTATACGATGCATGCATGTGATTCGTTTACTGTCGACTATAAGGCTTATCTTATGTACAGTTAATCCCAAATTAATATGTAAATTATATTTTGTAGTTGATAATGAAGATCCCAAAGATTTTCGAGGATGAAACAGACGTCATTATCGACACATTATTAGAATTCAAGAATAAAAGAAAGTTACCTCCTGTGGGCCGTTACACGCATAATATGATGGATGATTTATTGCGCGTCGTTAAACGACGTTGTAGAGGGTTTACATTGTCGTTTACTGAACTTATTTGTGTCATTTTCTACTGGGAAAGACAATTCTTCACTATTACGGCAATGCTTGATTCTAGCAATTTTACTTGGGACCTTTTGAAGAAGTCAGTCGTAATAGGGCTAGGAAGAGGACCTATTGAGTATTTGGAGGTAAGCTACTTCATTTTTAGAATTTTCTTTACATTATTGTCAATTATGAAATGATGTTTCATATATATATATATATATATATATAAATTTTTTTATTTTTTTTTTATTTTTTTTTCCACCCATTAACACATACTTTCATATTATTAATTGTAGGAAGATGATTTTGCAACACAACATTGTCTTCAACCGTGCCCGAATTTTGAATATTTTATTGTTATATTTAAAAAAGATGAAGCAAGCTCAAGTCACCCTCCTAGTGACTGCGATGGGAGTTCACCGTCAGTGAACTCTCACTTTGACGGTGATATCATAGTGATCGATGATTGAATGTTGGGTGCAATTGGTCAGGTTGTCTGTTGTAATGGTAACTTATAATATTTGTTTGTATTATAATGTATATGTGCATGTAGCAGCTGGGTAAGTATGTTTACCCATGTTTTTGTATGCAACACACATTAGTGTGTGTGCATGTAGCTTCACGCTTCGTACCTCCTTGTGTTGCCTTCATTTTGTATGTATACTTGAAGACAACAAAGAATATAAACATGTTGGGTACGCTTAATTACGTAGTACGCTGCCTTTCTTTTGCTTCGTCTTTTGTATAAGACTACGTAAGGTAATGAAATATGTTTAAGTGTTTATCGATTTGTGTATATCGGTTATTTTTTTTTCTTTTTTAATTTTTATAAAAATGTGGGACTTTGTTTTATGACCAAATTAATTATATCAAAATTTTTTGGTATTGCAAACATTAAAACCAAATTATTTTCGATTTGTACACTTGGTAACACACATGAAAATTGGATTGAAGTTTAATGGTGGACAAAATAAATAATGTTGGCTCACCCAACTATGACTTTGGATAGGATAAGAGTGAAGGGTAAAATTGTAATTTAATATAAAAAGTAAGACAATTTATACAAAATATATTGGTTTATCCGTGGACCCCATAATATATAAAAGTACTTCCCAAAGGAAGGATTGGATTACACAACTTTATTAGTATCATTTCTATGTCCCTGGACTTGGGATTTCATTGGATTGGTTTGGATTAAAAAAACAAACCAATCCTATCCCCACAAACTTGTCAAACACACCCCAAATGTATAGAGGCTACTCTTAGGCCTACTAAATGCATGACTTAGGGTAGGAGGTACCCCTTGACACCAAAGCCTCACAAGAGAGGATTCAACGGTTGTCAGACTTATCGGTTTAATGTGACTCACAAGACTTCATGTCATCATCTTTTAAAATATAAATAATCTAAAGAATTAGGCATCGGGAATACACTCACTACTGATATTGCACAGTTTTCATATTCTCTTACGTAGCCTTGTCAAAATATAACACGACACGAATCAGTATGAAATTAAATAAGTTTGTATGAAGTCTTAATGGGTACGAGTGATAAACTCTAAATCTGTTTAATAAATGATTCGTGTTCGAGTGAGATAAATCAATTCGTTCAATTATTTAAGTAAAATTAATATAATAATAATTTAAAAAAAATTTAGTCAGAATAAATATGTAGTTTAATAATTATATCGATTAAAAAGATTATAATTTTTTTTAATTATTACTAAACAGGTTAAACGAGTCTATCGAATAATCTATTTAATAAACAAATTGTATTCGCTTTAATTTAACAAATCATATATGAGTTGAATGATTTTTCACACCAACATAATTAAACTTGACATGAACTTTCTTAACCCGACACAGTTAATATCTCTATTCTCAAATCTGAATGTCGATTAACTTAAACATCAGAGGAAATATGTAGAATATACATCCGACCCCTTCTAACCTCTTTCTTTGTTGCACGAATCTCAAATCCCAAATCAAATGCGAAGGAGATGAAATTCAATTCGAATCAAATCTGTTTCACCAACAAACATAAATGTACCTTTTTATGCATAAAATCTATATTATAAAATATGAAAGAGTTTAAAAAATTCATTAAACGATCTTAAATGGACTTATTCAACGATCACTAATATCTCTTTTAAAATTATTCATATTATATTATACCTTTTTTTTTGGTCAAGAAATTTAAAATTTTATAAATAAAAAACATAGACCCTTTTACAATTTGATTCACTCATCCTACTCCTCTTCTAACTTTCAACCTAACAATATACATCACAGATTGAGAGAGTCACTCTGTACATTAAGTTTCTCACTTCTAGTATATGCTGCAAGCATATGGACAGCCTTATTCTGTGCTCTTTGTGTTGCTTGAAACTTTACCATTAAAAATAATTGGACCTTCAAACACGAATTATCCATAATTTTTAAACTCATCGTTGGACTCTCGAAGAAGCTTTTGCACCAGCCTTTTGCCCACATCAATGTGGCTACCAAAATAGCCTTTAAACTTCCCATTTGTTTTAATTAAGTCTCAAAATTTTATTTTTCTCAATTAAGCCCTAAAAGTTTTGAATTTTTTTCAATATACCCCTCGAGTTTTTGTAGCAGAATGGACACACGTGATTTTCACATGTTTGATCAAAAAGGGTATTTTAGACAATTAACAAAAAAACTCAAATACTTGAGCCCAACTTCCTGACGCGCTGCACCGACTCATCCCCCTCTTCCTCTCTTTCATTTCATTAATCAAACCCTAAAATCTAAACTTGCCACCCACTACACTAACCAGTCACAATCCAAAAGAAAAACTTTATCACCAATCCCACAAGCACACCCACTGCACTCAACCAAGTCAAATTGAATGTGTGTATCTGAGAGAGAGAGAGAGAGAGAGCACATCATCAGACCGCAGTCTCACACTGCAACCAAAAAGCCACCCACGGGCGACCACTGCCAAGTGCCAACCAGGCGAAAAAGATTACCCACAATCTTCCCAAATTTCATCAGCTGTTTTTCACAATGCCAAGGGCACCACTACCCAAGCCAATAGGAGTCTGAAGCTTCATGTGCCGACGTGTGCAACGACGGAGCGTTATCAATTTAGGTTTTCGTCTCTAGATAATCCGAAATTAAAAATTTTCCATGATCTGTTTCCAATTCTTGGCGACTTTGGGTCGATTTTTTGTGGGTTTTTTGGAATTGGGTGTTAGTGGTGATTGTCGAGTCGTGGTAGTGGGTGTTGGTGGATTGTGGTGGTGGGTGTTGGTAGATTGACGTGGGGGGTGGAGTTTTTAAGTGGTGCGATGTTGGCATGCTTTGATGGTGCTTTGTGATGGTGCTGATGATGGGTAGAAGAGTTGTTTGTGATGTTGGGGTTAAGGGTTGTTGTGGGTGACAGATTTTGTTGTGGTCAGCCGGTGGGTAAAAGTGTTTTTATGGTGGTAGGAGTGTTGCCGTGTTAAGTGGCAGTTTGTGTGCTGTTTGGGGTTAGGGTTTGGCGAGGGCAAGAAGAAGAAGAGGTGGAAGGAGGAGGAGTGGGTCAGGCGGGGTGGGTCAAGGAGACAAGGAGTTTGAAATTTCAGTCACACGAAATGTAACGAACAACAGCGGTTGTTGACCACCTCTGTTCCTAGAACTTAGCAGAAGAAAAGAAGGCTCCACCCCCACCACCTCTCTTTATGGGGTTTAGTAGATAGATGAAAACGAGGCTCTAACCCTCGCTGAGCCTCGGATGGAGGGAGATTCATATGTTTGAGCTCTTACGAGTTTCGGACATAGCATAGTTCGAGCTGGTTTGCAATTTCGGTACCCATAGGTAAATTTTCAATGTTTTATGTTATTTTATTTTTTCTCTGCAGTCTTAGTTCAAATCTTCTCTGATTTTATCAACCTCAGATTATAAACTGGTATCTTTCCCCCCAGTGGCGATAATCAGACCTCCTGTTTCTTTATGCTTCCGTTGGCGTGTCCTGGAAAAATATGTACTAGTATTATTGGAAATGTTATGGAGATGGAAATTGCCTCAGAGAACTTCGCATCAAACCATCAAATCACTTTCTTTCTCATCACTTCGCAATCTTTCTTCACCAACTGAATTTGTGGTTGATAAGCCACGTAAGTCTTTTGCAACAAAATGTAGTCAACAATTTCCAGTGAGTTCTAAAATCATCCTCTCCTCCCAGATTGTGCAATCAACTATGCTCAACTGCCCTTCCGATTTAGTTGCTCTGTGCTTTTTCTTGTGGTGTGCTCGCCAACCGAATTACTTTCATGCACGGGGCACATTTGATCACATGGTCAATGTAGTTGCTCGCCTCACCCAACGGTTCATAACTGTGGAAGAAATAGTTAAGCAATTAAGGAGTCTTGGATGTTCAACGAAGCCACAGACACTATTGCTATTGTTGAGAATATATTGGCGGGGAGGAATGTATGGCATGGTTTTCGAGGCATTTGAAAATATGTTTCGTTATGGTTACACACCGAACACTTATGCTCGGAACATTGTTTTGGATGTGTTATTCAAGATTGGGCGTGTTGATGTGGCCATGAGCGTATTGAAGGACACCCAGGTCCCAAATTTCTTAAGTTTCAGTATAGCAATATGTAATTTGTGCAAACTCAATGATGTAGTAAATGTTAAATCTGTGCTCAGGAACATGTTGAGTCACGGGTATTATCTTAATCCTGAAAACTATTATATGGTTTTGAGGAGTTGTTGCAAACTGGGTAGGCTGGCGGAAGCTTTACAGGTTTTGGGTCTGATGGTGACTTTGGGTATTCCCACCTCTGGGAAGGTTTGGAGTGTATTGATTGATGGGTTTTGTAAATCTGGCAGACTTGATATGGCAGGCTATTTATTGGAGAAGATGGTTGAAACTGGGTGTCCTCCAAATGTTGTAACTTGCACTTCTTTGATCAAGGGATACATGGAATTCCAAAGGCCCAGCAGTGCATTCAGTATCCTGAGCAACATGGAGTCTAAGGGATGCTCCCCTGATTTGATCCTTTGTAACGTATTAATAGACTGTCTCTCTAAGATGGGGAGGTATGATGATGCACTCGATGTCTTCTATAGTTTGCCAAAGCGAAAATTAGTACCTGATTCTTATACTTTTTGTTCGGTAATGTCCATTGTCTGTTTCTCCCAACAGTTCACTCTTCTACCCATATTAATAAGTGGACTTGTTATAGAACCAGACTTAGTACTCTGTAACTCCCTTCTTAGTTATTTTTGTAAAGCTGGTTATCCGTCTGGAGCTGTTGAGTTTTACTGTGACATGATAGCTAGAGGTTTTATACCAGATAGGTATACTTATGTTGGATTACTGAGCGGACTATGTGGAGCTGGAAGAATTAATGAGGCGGTTAATGTGTACCGTGGAATTGTCTCGACCCAATTTGGTCTGGATGCTCATATCCATAGTGTTATCATAGATGGGCTCATAAAATCTGGTGACTTCCATAGAGCTATAAGACTGTTTAGGAAGGCTGCTGCAGAGAAGTATCCACTGGATGTTGTATCATACACAGTTGCCATCAATGGACTTTTTAGGGGTAATCGAGCTGGAGAGGCTTATAATTTGTTTGGCCAAATGAAGGAGGTTGGTGTTGCTCCAAACGCACATGCATACAATGTCATGCTCTCTGGTGTATGTAGGGAAAGAGACGTTATTATGGTTAAACAGATCTTACGAGAAATGATTGATATGGGGATTGAGTTGCACTACAATTCTTATAACTGTATAAAGAAACTCCTGCTCAAGTCACACCATTCTCTTTCAGTCTTTCATCTACTCAATGAAATGTGGGATTCAGGGTTGATACCTGACAAGGCCATGTATGCACTATTGGACGACAGAATTGCGCGTGGTATAAAGGTAGGTGAAACAGGAGATCAATTGCCCATGGATGTTTTAGAAATTGGCGCATCCAGCTCCGATGACATCTCTGATGTGGCTGCGTCAGTGGGTTGAGATATATTGGTGAAAGTTTATATCCTAGCAGATTGGGCAGCTCCTTCTTGAATCTCATCAACCAATAAGATCCAACCAGACCAGACTACATAAAGGTACTGCCAATGCATGTTAGCTTTGTCATGGAAAGTGATGTTGACCTGGAGCAGAATAGGATTGGGGCATTGAATTCTTGTTGCATCTCTAATTCTTAATTTTACTGCTAATTTAGTTGTTTATTATTCCTAGTCATTGATCATGTGCTATAGCTGCTGATGCTTTTCGAGGCCAGTTGTGCACACCTTAAGCTTGGCGTGCACTAGAATGAAGAGTGGGCTTGACTTATTTGCCTCATGAGGTAGCTAGAGCATTTTCCCTCAAATCCATTTTAGATAGAGCTAGAACACTTGGTTTCCTACTTATTCTTTGAGTGATCATGATGAGTTCTAAAAAATTGATGAAATTTCACAATATGATTGATCTTAGCTCATTTAATGAACTTGAAAAATTAACACACTTAAACAAATCTTGCAAGAGATCTAAAATGGGACTTCAACTAAGCTAATCATAAGACAAGCTCGAGTAGCTTGGTTTTTAACTGCACCATATCTTTAGGACACTAAACATAGTTATAACGTCATTTTTTTGGCGTTCGTGATTATAAATTGGGTGGATTGTGCAAAAAGCCTCTCTTGACCTCCATTTTCTCTCGCGCTTAAATGAAAACCTATCACCTTCTGCGATCCTCTCCATGTTGTGATGGGGCACATGTTGTTAAGTCATTGATATTGATGTGCAAGCCTCAAAATTTTGTTTCCTTTCCACCGAGACGAAGGAAGCATTTCGGAACATTGATGAAACATCAAAATCCCCATGTTTTAGATATTTGGAGTTGTGCCTGGATGATTCAGCCAATGTTTGGGAATCCCATGGACTCAAAATTCTAATTTTTGAATCAATATTCCATTTTTTGGGTCTTTCATTATGCTTCCGAAATGTTTATGAAATGTTTCCGTATGTTTTCATTTTTGAGCTAACCGAAATTGCTTACCTAAACTTAATTTTGATACTAGTTGATGTCTCGTAATTTTTTGTAGCAGGATTGTTGAAGCTTGAAACTACAAGTTATTAGATGTTAAACACAGTATGTAATTCTTTTGCTTTAAAACTTGTAGGTTGATGCTAGTTTTCGGTGAGCATCTTTGCAAGGATAAGTGAGCTTCTTTTGACAACTGTATTCCTTAGCATTTTCTGCTACTAGACCCGAATCAATGTTACCTGGATCGTTGGTCAATTTGGTAAGTGATTTGGGTACATGTACACGGTACGTCACTTTCTTAGGTACATGGGGGCTAGACTTAGCTAGTATGAATTTTTGGGTCGTAATTCGTTTTGTAACTTTTATCTATATTACTTCCACTACTATATGAAATTGTATGTAATAGGACATCCTTATACACATAGTCAATTACCATTTATTTACATTTATGCTTGATTTCCTATTATCTGAGAGTATATATAATTATACATCCATACACATACAGTCAATTAATATTTACTTCACATTTGTGATGTATGTTCCAAAGCGAATTGATTTGGGGTTAGTATTACAATTTGGGTTTAGACATTTAAGAGATTTGGATAAAGATCCCACTCCATTTGGGATCGCTATACTCAAATTATGGGTCGCCAAGGATTTAGTGATTTTCTGGTAAATATGACCTGAATAGTAGAATGTTGCAGAAAAATTCTCATGCTTGTCCTTTTGAAATTAAATATTTTAAGTATGAAGCTAAATACTAAGTATTAAAAGCATAGGTGTCATGCTTATGATTTGTGATTTGCTCATCATTGGTTAGGGACAGTTATGCCTTATTTGGAGGGCATTCATGGATCGTGAGGGACCTCTTTGAAGCTCTTGACTTCATTTTGGATCTCCAAGAAGGAAGTTGTGAACTTTTATTTTGTTCCAAAGTAATTCCTGCCTTTTCATGTTCTGATGTGGTACTTGAGGCTTCCATGCACATTGTTTCTGCATCACTTGAAAAGTTGAATTGCAAAGAATGTAATTCTTGCGTTTGGAACTTCAGGCTTTTGGTCATTTTCCCCGTTGCTTTAACTTAGAGAATGGCATTAACTTTAAAATAAACCAATATATTCGACCAGGAAACCTAGTATACTTTAACTGTAAAAACAATTGATATACTCAACCAGGAAACCAAGTATATTGTTGTGTAATTTCAGCTAGAGGTTGTTTAGATCATAATGGGTTTAGGATAAAGTTATTTACTCAAATTCAATTTAGTATTGTGTGTTCATTACGTATGCATTTTCGCACTAACGATTCATGAATCAGACTACTATGGCCTATTTTTTTGAAATTGACTCATGCTGAACTGGAATTAATCATTGGTGCTAAAAATAAACCTGAGGTTAGTTGGTGGAAGCGTAGGGTTATCAACTTCATTCAAATTATATAAGTGTCAAATAGTGTATATAGCAATTTTGTTCGCAAATTTCTAGGAAATATTGAATGAGCATTCATGGAGATTACATTTCAATTATATCACCAGTGTTAATGATACATTCTTGTGATGCTATATTAACTATAAGCTGAATTCCATGGTTGTGAATAAGTCAATAAGCACACCTTGAAACCTTAGATTTTGTAGAAATAGCTCAATAACTTTTCTACACCCATTACGTATTTGACTACAGTGAAATAAGACTAATCCATGTCCTCATGGTTTGCAGATTGTTGAAATGGTATAGAATTTGCCTTTGGTTGTTATTCTGCAGAACCAGAATTAACTGCCTGTGCACCATTTGATACTTATTGAAGCTATTCTCCTTATGACTATTAAGTGCATCTAGATTGTGCTTATAGTTGTTCTAATTGTGCCTGTATTGAGCTGAGAATTAATGTCATCTGCCAAAGTGTTTGGTAACTGTCATGTGTAACTTCTTTTTTCTTATTTGTTTTTCTCTTTATTTCCATTTTTCCTTTTTTGTCTGCCTTTCTTACTTTGAAGAAACATAGCATGCAGATTTCATGATGATTCCTTTCCTTGTTTGCATAATTTTGGTTGTACAATTGGAGGGACAAAAAGACATTAGTAGTTAGATGAGCATACATTTACAAAGATGCACAAGGAATGAAAAAATGTTGCAATTTATAGTCTCTAAAGAAGGTGAATGACTATTGATGCGGTGGAGGATCAAGTTTGAAAAGATTAAGGACCTCATATTGTCAGCGTTAACAGAAGACCTGGCTCTTAATATAGTGATATGAGATCAAGAGCCATCCATGGTGGAAAAATTTACTCTCTTCTATGTTTTAGAAGTTCTATTCTCAACAATTTTTGTGGGTTTTTTTCCTTCTCTCTGGCAAGTCTCTATTTTGTTTTGCTGGAGAGTCTGAATTGGGTTTTTGAGTTGCTGTCCTGATTTCTGGGGTTTGGTTTTCTGAATGTCCTTAGACACCAAAGGAATTTATAATTTAAGTTTCCCTTTTTTGATTTGTTTTTTCATCTGAGTGTGTGTTTTGTGTGTGTAACTTCTTTTGTCTTCTTTTCCCCTCAACGTTGTGTTGACTACAGGGGACTCTAAAGGATCTCTCAAACGTAGGACCGCTTCTAGGACAGAATCCTTCCTCGAATCGGAACGAAGAGGTGGGTGCAGTATCATCTTGTCTCTTGTTTATGTTATTTACTTGATGGATGAAAATTTAGACATATATTTGCGCTTTCTATACCATTGTTCTTAACATTTTTTTGGCGCCTGTTTTGCTTTTCATTGTTCAGATTGGAAATTTCATGGCCTAGCCAATGGTTTCTAGTGTTGCAGGAAAGGGTATGATTCATCATGGCCGTCTTTACTATATCCCTTAGTATCTTCGTAATCTTTTATCCCAACATTAATTTTGATGTTTTGTTCCCTATGACTTTATTTGTTTTATGTTTATTATTGTTATCAATTTGTCCAACATATACAAGAAAATTATTGAATTGGAACAGATTTCTGTTGAAGGAAGCAAATGAGAATAGATGTACTCTTGTTTGCATATAATACTCTTATGAAATGTCTACTAGTAGATGCGGATAAGTCTGTTGCATATCTTGTAGACAATGCCAAGAATACAGCTCGTCATATGACAGTTAGTATATACAATCTTTCTGTAGTTTAAGCAATTATACTATGTTGATAGATCACACATATTGGAATATAAATAGATAGGTCTACATAGATAACAATTTATTGTACAAGGAATATATGTGGTGCATATAGATAGATCCACATATTTATTCCAATATGTGTGATATATCAACATGATATAATTATTTTAACTACAGAAAGATTGTATGTGCTAACTGCTATATGAAGAGCTATATTCTTGTCATTGTGTATAAGATATGCAATAGATTTATCCGCATCTAATAATTGACATGTCATATGAGTATTATATGCGAACAATGCATGATAATGGAGTGAAGTACATCCGTTTTTATCTATTTCTTTCATTAGAGATTTGTTCCAATTCACTAATTTTCTTGTATATGCTAGACAAAATGATACAAAGAATATAAATAAAACAGATACATATGTTAGCAAAATGTCATAAGGGAATAAAACATCAAAATTTATGTTGGGATCACTAAGATACATTCATACTTCAGTACACTAATCGACGTTCTTCAAACAAATTGGGATTGATCGGATGGGAAACCTTCAAGTGTTATTGCTGCAATGTCTCATTTGATTCCACAAAAGATCTTTTAGGTTCACTAGAATTACGTGGTTCGTGAGCATTTGTGTTGTAATATTGAGTCCAAAGAAAATGTAAATTCAGATAATTGTCCATTATTAAGAAAACTAGAGTCGACTTTATACAAATATTAAATAATGATAATATTTGCATGTCCATTATTGATATTTTCGGGTTGATCTTGTTAGTGTGTGTTTTTGGTTTGGTGTACTAGTGTGTGTATTTTGATGTAATATTGTGTGTTGATGTAGTAGTGCGTATGTGTATGAGCATGTGTATTTTAGTGTATTAGTAAGAAAAAAATTTTGGTGTATGTGTGTGTTTTGGTGTATTGGAGTGTGTGTGTTTATGTTGGTGAATATTGTTTTGCTGTATTAATGTATGTGTGTATTTTGTTGTGTTAATGTATGTGCGTATTTTGGTGTAATAGTGTGTGTATTTGTATTTTGGTGTTTTATTAAATGTGTTTATGTTTTTTGTGTGTTATTATGTATGTGTATTTTTAGTGTATTAGTTTTTTTTTTTTAGTTTGTGTTTTGTGTTTATATTAATAGTTTTAATCCTTTTACGGGTTAATGGGTTTAATCAAATTCTTTATGATTCAATTCATTATTACCTGTTTATTAAACGGGCATCCAATTCATTTTGAATCACTTCATAACCTACCAAACCAGCCAATTTTTCACCTCTAGTATTTTGGAATACCCTCCCCACTAATGCCAAGGCCACGTTTAGATAATTCTAATTGCCAGAGAGTATCACATTTTTAGTAATGAGATATTCAGGTTTTAATTAATATAATAATCTCATATTTAGTGTTGAGTTCTCTCCATTGCAATGTAAGCTCTTGCCATTGCCATGCATGTTTGCTTATTTGGGGAGGGTTAAATGTACGCAACTTTATTTTTACAAGTAGAGAGATTGTTTTTGTGATTCAAACTCGTGACCTTCAATTCACAATAAAATAATTGTACTATTGCAGTAAGGCCTGTCCTCTTATCTATTGATATCTATTCTCTTTAATTATCACAATTTAATTTTTTATTTATTTAAAAATTATTTATAAAAAATTTTAAAACACAAAATATTGACCAAGTTCTTATATTTAAGTTAACAATAAATTTTTCTCAGCAAATAATACGGTTAATTCATTCAATCTTAATTGATTGTAAACAAGATATTATTAATTTAAGTTTTGAACAAGTAATTTAATGGAGGCCTCCAAAATTTGGACCTGACCAAATATAGAATAATTTTAGACTTGGAAAAAATTAGATATTGATTTGAATTCTTAAAATTTGGATTATATGTAAATTACAAAAAAAAAAAAAAAAGAAAGCCTACTATACTAAAGGGTAAATTTTTGGGCCCCCTAAAATTTGGGTTTAACCAAATAAAGAGTAATTTTAGACCTAACAAAATTAAATATTAATTGGAACTCTTAAAATTTAGGACATAAAAGTTTGGATCATATTTAAAATACAAAAAATAAAAATAAAAGTTAGACCTAATATACTAAAAAAAACTTGGGGGCCCTCTAAAATTTGAGACCTTAGGCAAGCAGCCTAATTGCCTATGCCTAGGGCCGGCACTTAGTAATGCTAGACTGGCAAAAAAATGACTAAAAACTTAATTATTGTCATTAATCTAATGTGGGAGTAATGTATATGTTTTATTATATTA